CTGTAGTTCATTCTTTTTTTTTTTTTTTAGACAGAGTTTCACTTATGTTACCCAGGCTGGAGTGCAATGGCGCGATCTTGGCTCACCGCAACCTCTGCCTCCTGGGTTCAGGCAATTCTCCTGCCTCAGCCTCCTGAGTAGCTGGGATTACAGGCACGCGCCACCATGCCCAGCTAATTTTTTGTATTTTTGGTAGAGACGGGGTTTCACCATGTTGACCAGGATGGTCTCGATCCCTTGACCTCGTGATCCACCCGCCTCGGCCTCCCAAAGTGCTGGGATTACAGGCTTGAGCCACCGCGCCCAGCCTGTAGTTCATTCTTAAGTTTTGTGGCCAACAGACGGATAGGAGGTGGATTGTGATGTATTCGGAACATGAGACCTTGAGGAGTTCCATAACCAAAAGGAGGAAGTAACAGCCAGAGGAGACAAAAAGAACTGCTTCTCTTTCTTTCCCCCTCCAAGTTGCTAGTGGAGGGCTGAGCCAGCATCCCAGACTCGTGTGACTATATAGGCAACCATTTGGAGACCTATTTCACTTTGATACCCTAGCCTTCAGCGGCTCAAGGTGTTGGCTTTGTATAGGAGGCTTCCAAGTAGTAAAGCTCCCTGCTCTCAGCAAGCCCAACACCATGGGGAAGGTAGATGTATCAGAGGCAGCACCAACCACCACAGCCACAGCCTACCACTCCATCATGGATGAATATGGTTATGAGGTGGGCAAGGTCATTGGCAATGGCTCCTATGGAACAGTATATGAGGCTTTCTACACAAAGCAGAAGATCATGGTGGCAGTCAAGATCATCTCAAAGAAGAAGGCCTCTGACGACTATCTTAACAAGTTCCTGCCCCGTGAGATACAGGTTAGAAAGGGCGCTGGAAGAGGGAACTGGAGCTTGGTACTAAGCTGCTTGAGGTTTCTCAGAAGGGGTATGGCCAGAAGGGGTGGGGCCAGAAACCCCCAAACCAGAACTAAATGTCTCACTAAGCAGCTAGGAAGATTTATGTAAATTAAACCTCTTTCCTATCCACCCACTCACCTCCAGCCCCACAAAAAGTAAAAGTGCAAAACATAGGGTTTGCCCACAGGCTACTAGTTCTCTGAGGTTCAGGGGTTGATCCTTTTGCAAAGTTCTAAGTAAGTAGCTAAGGGTAGGAGATGGCTGGGAGTGAAGTCAGGGTTCTCCCTTCCCAGGTTTGATGGGTCCTTCTTCTGGGGTCAGGTAATGAAAGTCTTGCGGCACAAGTACCTCATCAACTTCTATCAGGCCATTGAGACCACATCTCGAGTATACATCATTCTGGAGCTGGCTCAGGGTGGTGACGTCCTGGAATGGATCCAGCGCTATGGGGCCTGCTCTGAGCCCCTTGCTGGCAAGTGGTTCTCCCAGCTGACCCTGGGTATTGCCTACCTGCACAGCAAGGGCATCGTGCACCGGTGAGGTCGCTGCCACCCAGACTGGGGACTTTGCTTTCAAGGGGGTTTTATGCACAGCTCTCATTTCCTGCTCTTTTCCTCTCTCAAACTCCCTCCTAAATATCTAGGCCTATTCATGCACTCTATTATAATCATGTGGTTAAGGATACTGATAAAGTACTCACTGCATGGAGAACTTTTGTTTTTTTCCGAGATGGAGTCTTGCTCTGTCGCCTCCACGCTGGAGTGCAATGGTGCCATCTCAGCTCACTGCAACCTCTGCCTCCTGGGTTCAAGCAATTCTCCTGCCTCGGCCTCTTAAGTAGCCGGGGTTACAGGCGCATGCCACCATGCCCAGCTAATGTTTATATTTTTAGTAGAGATGGGGTTTCACCATGTTGATCAGGCTGGTCTTGAACTCCTGATCTTGTGATCCGCCTGCCTTGGGCCTCCCAAAGTGCTGGGATTACAGGCGTGAGCCACCACGCCCATCCTGGAGAGCATTTTATGAAATACAATGGTGAGCTCCCAGTGGTCTTCAGATACCATCCTCTCTCTCTCCTCACTTTGGACTCTCCTTATCCTCTGACCCCTGGCCCTTCAGCTCCCAGTCTAAAACTAAGCCCTCTCCCCAGCCTGACGCCCAGCCTTTCTGCTGCTGGTAGGGACTTAAAGTTGGAGAACCTGTTGCTGGACAAGCAGGAGAACGTGAAGATATCGGACTTTGGCTTTGCCAAGATGGTGCCTTCTAACCACCATGTGGGTCATAGCGCGTCTTACCGCCAAGTGAACTGCTTTTCCCACCTCAGCCAGACTTACTGTGGCAGCTTTGCTTATGCCTGCCCGGAGATCTTACTAGGTTTGCCCTACAACCCTTTCCTCTCTGACACCTGGAGCATGGGTGTCATTCTTTACACTCTAGTGGTCGCTCATCTGCCCTTTGATGACACCAATCTCAAAAAGCTGCTGAGAGAGACTCAGAAGGAGGTCACTTTCCCACCTAACCTCACCATCTCCCAGGAGTGCAAGGTACTGGCTACCCAAGCAGGGCTGAGGCCTCAGGGATGACCCACAGGGAGGGGTGAATATCCATCCTAGGTCACCCAACCTAGGCCTCCCAACCCTGGGGTAAGGCTCTTCCCACACGAGAGCCATTTCACACACTAGCTCCTGCCCTATAATAGAATGGAGTCAGCAGGTGTGGAGGCTCACGCTTGTAATCCCTAACACTTTGGGAGGCCAAGGTGGGTGGATCACGACGTCAGGAGTTCAAGACCAGCCTGACCAACATGGTGAAACCCCGTTTCTAATAAAAATACAAAAATTAGCTGGGTCCGAGTGGCGGGTGCCTGTCTGTAATCCCAGCTACTCAAGAGGCTGAGGCAGGAGAATCGCTTGAACCAGGGAGGTGGAGGTTGCAGTGAGCTGAGATGGTGCCACTGCACTCCAGCCTGGGTGACAGACTCCATCTCAAAAAAAAAAAAAATAGTATGGAAGGCATAAAGGGCCAACCAGTAGGCTCCAAACCTTGCTTGATATGCAGGTTCCAGCCTCTGCCTCTTTAGGCCAGAAGGGGATTATGGAAAGCATTCCCTCCAAGGAACTTTTCACTCCCCTTCCAGGGGGTTAACTGCCTGGCTCTCCAAGATAAAATCAGAGCCACACCCCGTTTGACAAGAGTGGTATGATAGGCTATCCTGCTTCTTTCTTAGGTCCACCTGCTCACTGTGTGTGGTACAATAGAGAAAAACTCAGGCAAGACCTCTCTCTCCCCTGCTCTAGAACCTGGTCCTTCAGATGTTATGCCAAGCTGCTAAGCGTGTCACCATCCTGGATATCATCAAGGATCCCTGGGTGCTCAAGTTCCAGCCTGAGCAACCCGCCCATGAGATCAGGCTGCTTGAGGCCATGTGCCAGCTCCACGCCACCACTAATCGTCACCAATCCTTGGAATTACGACCTGAAAATGGCTGAAGAAGGGTGCTGAGAGAGGAGCAAAGCAGGAGGGTCTTAGGCTAAAAATATTTTATACCAAAAATAAATCTAAGTCTGATTTAGTTTCATCAACTAGGGTCAAAGACACTCTTTTCTCAAGGGAATCTTATAGCAAGGAACACTGCTGGGATAGGAGAGGGATTTCTGCGCAGAGCCTGTAACCAATAATCTTGACACTGTGTTAAATCAATAGTGTAATTCATGATGTGGCTCAGAGGGGATGGGGTGCTCGGATTAACACTATTTTGGGACGCTTTATTTTTTTTTTATTTTTATTTTTATTTTTTATTTTTTTTTGAGACCGAGTTTCGCTCTTGTTACCCAGGCTGGAGTGCAATGGCGCGATCTCGGCTCACCGCAACCTCCGCCTCCTGGGTTCAGGCAATTCTCCTGCCTCAGCCTCCTGAGTAGCT